CAACCCCAGGCATGATGGTGCAAGTCTATAATCCCAGCACTCAGAAGGCTGAGGCAGGAGAATCAGTGTTTGTTCCAGGCCGACCTGAAGTACATAATGAGACCCTGTCTCAAAAAAAAAAAATTTTTTTTAACCAGTAAAATATGCTGGGAGGGATGAGGGGAAAAAGAAAATCTTTTCCACTGTTGGTGAGAGTATAGACTGCTCCAACCACTGTGGAGATCACTGTGGATATTCCTCAGAAAACTAGGGTCAGAGGTCCTTACTTGACCCAGCTGTTCCCCTTCTTGGTATCTTCCCAAAAGAATTAAAAGCATCATACCACAGCGATCTATGCACACTCTTGTTTACAGCAGCACAGCTTGTAAAAACTAGGTCTTGAAAACAGCCCAAGTGCCCATCAGTCCATGAATGGATAAAGAAGATGTGGTGTTTGTATACAATAGACTACTACTCTGCCATAAAGAAGGGTAAACTTGAGACATTTCTAGCTAAATGGATGCACCTTGAGACCATACTCTTATGTGAAATGAATCAGACACACGTGTTTAAATACTGCATTGTCACTCTGGTGTGAGAAACCAACAGCGTAAATGAGGATCAAAATGTATAATAGATATTGGGAAATGGTAAGAAAATGTTCAAATAAGGAGAACAAGGAGAGGGGAAGGGGAAAGGAAAGAAGGGACAAGGAAGAAAAGGAAATAGAAAGAGAAAAATGGAAACAAAGCTTTTATAAATAAGAACAGAAAGAAGAAAGGAGAGGAGGATCATGGGGGGAAAACAGGTACTAACAGGTATAACTCCTATTATAACAGGTGAAATGCACAGGTATTAACTCCCTACAACCAATGTGATCATTATGTATATCTACAACATACCAATTTTTTTTTGTAAACGAACTGTCCTGTGGCCTCACAACCTCTGAGCACTCAGCCTCCTGGGAAAGTCGGAGGGTTAGCAAAACAGGATGGGAGGCAGCTTGGAAGTAACCTGAATCCAGGCCAGTGGAGGTGGTAATAGGGCAGAGGGACTGTCAGAGAGGCTGTGCAACACCCAGCTATGCTCTTGAGGAAAGAGTGCATACAGACTGAAAAGGGATGGGGAAATACACACTGTTTCACTCTGAGGGCAACCTTTGCAGCAGTGATTTCTAGCCTGTAACTGCAGATCCTTGGAGAGCCAGTGATTTCTAGGGCTTCTAGATGCATGAATGCACTAAGCACCATTTGCACAGCAGATAAATCCTGACTCCCACAAATATAATTACATAAGTAACAACAATCACACATTGTGCTTCCACACTGTCTTGTTTAAGGCTTACAGCTACCTGGGAGATAGAGCTTATTTGCCCCAATTAATAGATGAGGAAACTGAGACTAGGGATAAATGACTTGCCAAAATTCAAAAAGATATGCTATATCAGTTCATATTAATGAGAAATGCTGAGGGCTTAAGGATGACTGCGTCTACAGGTCCGTATCCTCTTCCTGCATGACTCTCCTGTGCTTTCTCTTGTGAGGGCTTCAACCATGGGAAGGCTGGCCCTACGTCTGCAAGGATGGTCATTAGTAACTCTCCACTGCTACTAGCTCAGAGAAAAGCCTCTTCAAATGCTCTGATTGGCCAGCCATGGTCATATGAACACTGGAGGAAAGGTCTTAAACTGGTAACTCTAATCCAAAACAGAGGGAATAGAGGGGTCTCCTCCCAAAGTAAAACAGACGTTCTGTTACCAGAAGATTAGAGAGCAAGATGAGGAATGGAGAGTCAAAGACCAAAGTGAACTGAACGTAATTCACTGAACAGTGCTTCACCTGTGCGTAGGTCCTGTGCACCTGGACGCCTCACAGGTGCTCTGAGCCACAGCATCTTGCAGGTGATTTTATTACTGTCCAAGTCACATGATAACATGAGGGATCTACCCAACAGGCTCATGTGCAAAATATGTGGGAATGTGCAGTACATGTGTCCATCCGTGCCACTCCCTCTTCCAGGCCTCCCCCGCCCCCAGGACCCATTCCTTTGTGCAGCTTCACAAAGGCTGTTAGACCAAGAGGAGAGAGACAAGGCTGCAGACTCTCAGAGATTAGAACCTAGAAAGTAAGAGACCAGGAGACAGGGGCTCCTGAAAACCAGATGAGACATTATTT